TCAGGGCCCCTCCCTGGCCGTCTCAGGTAGGGACTGGGCTGTGGGCACCCTGCCTCCTGCCTGTCGCTGTCTCATCTTCATCCCAGCTCAGTGGGCAGAGGGCAAGGCTGAGGCTGAGCATGCCACCCCTTCCTGTAATCGCCCTTCCTACAAGGGCACCCTGGCATCCCCTGGACTTGCCACCGAAGTCCAGAAGCCCTTTGGAGCCCATGTCCTGTGTGGTGGCCAGTCAGTGGCTCCAGCAGCTGGATTCTGCCCAAAGCCGGGCTCTGTGGGAAATGTGGCCCCTGATCTGCTGGAGCCCAGCCCCCCTTCTTTCGCCGTCCTCAAATCCACTCTGAGAGGTGGCTGCTGGGAGGAGTGCCGCTCAGGGGAACACGAACATGACCTCACAGGGGCCCAGGAATGCTGGCTCAGTGTCCCTCCAGGAGAGGCAAGGGCATGGCCTCTAGGGAAACCCCACCCCCACCCCATGGCCCGTTGCCCTTGGCTGCCCTCCGAAGGCAGGAGCCCTCTCACCACAGCTGAGCTCTGCCAACCACCGTCACGGCTATGAGCCACCTGCAAGGGGGTAAACGGAGGCAGGGTGGCAGAGTCCCAGGCTCTGTGATAGCTGAGCCAGGTCCCTGGCCCGTGTGGTATGCAGCTGCCCAGTGAGGCTCCGCCAGAGGGAGGGTTGCTGGCCCCCAGCCGTGTGCCTGTGAACCCTCCCGCTGGACCTGGGCATGGGAGCAGTGCAGGTGGGGGCACGGCAGCTGGGACCGGCAAGGGGGCCCCAGGCTCCTCGGGAGGCTGGTCCATGTAGCCCGACACTCCTGGTCTCAGAGTCCAGTCCAGCACTGGCCCGGGAGCTGGGGAAGGAGTGGGTGCTGGCTGCAGGCTGGGCTGCTGGCTACCCTCTCAGCACCCAGAGCTCCCACCTGGCCAGATGCCAGGCAGTGGGGAGGAGACAGCCCTGGAGCAGTCAGGCAGGACAGAGCTGACCCAGCGGTGGGCGAGGAGAGGCCTGGACTCTGAGGAGGGTGTGAGCCGAGCCCAAAGCCAAGTAGGGACCTTGCAGAGGTGGGCAGCGGCTCCAGCTGGGACGTACGGTGGGCATCTGGGCGGCGGCTGGGGGTGGAACTGGGGGCACTGGGCAGAGAAGCATCGAGAGGGTGGGCAGGTGTCCAGAGAGGCTGAAAACCAGGGCCGCCTAGACTGCAAGGTCATGGAGCATATTAACCATTGGACAGGGCTCTCAGGGTGGGGGTGGGGGCTGGGGACAGCAGTCCTGGAAGGGGGCCTCAGAGGTGGGGAGGTGGGACCCATGACCTGATGGGGGGTGGCTGAAGCTCAGAGCAGTCGGGGCAGATGGACCAGGGTCCCTGGGGACCTCCTTGAAGCCAGTCTGCCTCCCACCAGGTCTCCGGGAAAGGCCGCCACAGGGAACCTGCCCCTCAGCCTGAGACACTGTG